ATAGGTACCTGGGGTGTTAGTCAGCTGTCACGGGCTGCTTCCTGGGGGTGGAGGCCTGGTCGAGGACTGGGCCGCGGGGACACTAAAGCCCCGAAATCATCTCAAGATAACCTCAAGATATGGTAGTAATCAATAATAATGAGGCCGAGAATAATGATTAATAATGCTACTGCTGACTCCTGGGTCCGTGGTGGGCGTGAGAGCTTTGGGATAACTAGGTGTTTACATCTAGAGCAGTGATCACTGTGGCACTGCTACGCGACAGTGGAAGTCTGGTGGGGAAGCCTCGTGTCCCCTCTGGCACTGGCAACCTCCAAGGTCAACCTCCACATAACTATTTATTGAACTTCCGGGTTGTGAAGTGGGGGGGGGGAGAGAGAGACAGAGACAGAGACAGAGAGAGACAGACAGAGAGAGAGACAGAGAGAGAGAGAGAGAGAGAGAGAGAGAGAGAGAGACAGAGAGAGAGAGAGAGAGAGAGAGACAGAGACAGAGAGAGAGACAGAGAGACAGAGAGAGACAGAGAGACAGAGAGAGACAGACAGACAGAGACAGAGACAGACAGAGAGAGAGACAGAGAGAGAGAGAGAGAGAGAGAGAGAGAGAGAGGGTGCCATGCTCTACTCTTCCTGGTATACAGTTTACCCCAGCCCAGTGTGGTTGACTGCTTAGGTATACTTGTGGTGACTGACTAACTGTGGGACCTCGCCTGTCGGCATTCACTTGACTGGTGTCGGGGCTTGAGGACCTTCTACACTCTCTCATACCCCACATTTGAAGCTGTGTATCAATACATTATAACATGTATTTATAATGTCTGTGTCTTCAGGGTACTCTGTATACTCTATTTCCAAGATGACTTTGCATGTGGTGATCATGTCTCTGTTTTTATCTCTTCACCAGCGACATTAAATTAAAGGTCTTTTATTTTATTTCTCTATATCTCGTACCTTTCGGCTCTGGGACTAGTCTAGGCTCTTCCCAGGTTTGTATTGTGTGTGGGGCAGCCAAGTGTTGTGATGGCGGAACGTGTACGTCTTTCCCCAGTCTTTGACGGCTTTGGTTACATTTATTAAACAGTTTACAAGCATGCAAACTTGCCAATCAACTGTTGTTATTGTTATAAACAGCCTCCTGGTGCTTCGGAGCTCATTAACTGTTTAATAATTATAAACAAAGGCCGCCAGAGATGGAGAAAAGATGTACAGGTTCGTAAGTGCTTGCGTAACAGCTTCGTGAATCTGTCCCCTGGTGCCTGAGCTGAGCCGGGAACACTGAGGAGTGCTGCCTGGCACAGTGCCTCTTAAACCTGTCAATGGTTCACCCTACACTGAATGATACACTTTGCATGTGAATGAAAAGTGATTTTTTTTTCTACCACAGACGTGGCCACACATTTACAATGCTAACCAGCATATTTACATATTGTCTTCCATATTTGAAAAAACAAAACATATATTGCTATCAACTCTTGATTATATTACTGGAAACTCCACACCCCCGAAGTGACTCGAAGCCGGACCGCCAGGAGCACATTGCAACTGGTGTACACGGTGCCTTAAACCACTCGACCATCAGTGACCGTACAAAAGGCAGTGATAACCGAGGCTATTTGAACCACCACCCCTGCTTGATACCTGGTTGATGGGGTTCTGGGAGTTCTTCTACTCTCCAAGCTCGGCCCGAGGCCTGGCTTGACTTGTGAGAGTTTGGTCCACCAGGCTGTTGGTTGGAGCGGCCTGCAGGCCCACATACCCACCACAGCCCGACGGCACTTTGATGGTAATCTTAAATATATGTATAGCTGCGAATTTTTCGCGATTGAAACTCAGGAATTTGGTATAGTATTTAATGTTTGAACATCTGAATAGGCTCAAGTTGTCACTTGAAGGAGATGACATGGTCCTCGGGGAACTAATAGCCTCGAGGGTGGTCGTATGGCGTAGTGGCGCTCGTTAAGGCAAAATGTCTCCAATATCCCGCATCTGGAGACCTTCCTCAAGGTCCGGAAGTGAGGGGCAGAAAAAGCACTGATCCGGAGATGACTGACAAGCATCATTTCCGTCACATCTGCAGATGCTGTCTTAGAATTCTTGAAGCAGCTTCCTCAAGTGGGAATATTTAAAACTCTTATTCACCAGCTACATCAAGCGAGATGGGAAGCAGCCCGTAGCAGCTGTCTAACTCCCAGGTACCTATTTACTGCTAGGTAACAGGGGCATCAGGGTGGACGAAACTTTGGCCATTTGGCCCACATACCCACCACAGCCTGGTTGTGGGTAGTGTGAGGGGGAAGAGTGGGAGATGAGGAGAGCCTTGTGTTCCTCCATCCAAGCCTCGTCTTCCTTAATCTACAGTAGTAGTTAACAAGTTTCCAGCAGATCAAAAGAAAAACTTTCCTTATTAAGGCCACTCAATAGCTCGGTCAATAGCGCTTGGGCCTTACACACGTGTGGGGGTCCCCGGTTCGAGTCTCCTAGAACCCAAGTGAATGGCATTCCAACAGATGCTCTCAGTCTGCTGTTATCAGTTCTTTCCACGTTCTCCATATCCGTCATTAATACCTCTTTGTCGTTCTCTGCTCCTCCACCTGAGGCAAGGTAGATACCACCACCTGATGACAGGAGCGATAATAACACAAAAAAGACACATTCAACCTGCTAAATTCTCTGCTACGAGACCTCGGGGCCTGGCCGCCAGCCTCCACGGCTTACGATACGGCCATGTACAGGGGTGTTATCTTGAAGTGAAGTGATTCTGGGTCATTTATCACTTGTTATCTGCCTCTCCTCAGCATCTGCCAGGGTCGTGGCAGCCTAGTTGACCTATTATCTCTAACTTACACACCTTAGCACCGTTGAAACGTGTGTGTGTATGTATATGTATGTGTATATATATATATATATATATATTATATTTTGGTAGCAGTCTTTCTTGTAAACATATGTTGTTGAATATGACCGAAAGGGTTAATAATTCTAATACGAATCTTCTTAATAATATTTTTTTATGTTTTTCTTCACTGTAGGGGGTAGTTGAAAAATTAACTCTCCAAAGTTCATTTTCACACTTTATTTATGGCCTGGCGCCTAGAAGCGTTTCGCAAGACACTTCTTACATTTTCAAAGACAATTTTACATACTCTGTTTAATCCTTATATTCGTTTTTGGGGTGAGGTTATTGGGCATGAATCAGTGGGTACATTGCGTGTTTTATCTTCCTGCTTCTGTGCTGGTTCGGGGTCTTGAAGTGGGTAGAATGTAATTACGTGTTAATTGGCTGTTGATTGCTGGTTTTGACTCTTTGATGCGTAGTGCCTCGCTGATGTCGAGTCTCCTGTTATCGTTGTACCTGTCGATAATTTCTGTGTTGCTTGTTAAGAGAAATCAGTCGCTTGTTAATCACCAGAGAAATCTTAACAAGCAACACAGAAATTATCGACAGATACAACGACAGTCGGTGAATGCATACTCCAGAAACGTCTCACGGATGTTATCGAGGTTTTTTTCCCCAAACTGCTGGTTCCGACCCATTAATGGGCGGCAAAATTAATAAAAATGGGGTCGTGACAAATGAGGGAAAACAAAATCACACAAAATGCGGAATTCATAAGACTCATTCGCACTCATTACTCATCATTGCAATTCAGGAGACTGGTGGTACGGTTGTTACCAGGTAATTGTTGATGAATTGGTGCATCTTAGTTGCTCATTTGTACCGAAGGTTATCTTGAGGTTATCTTGATGATTTTGGGGCTTTAGTGTCCCCGCGGCCCGGTCTTCGACCAGGCCTCCACCCCTAGGAAGCAGCCCGTGACAGCTGACTAACACCCAGGTACCTATTTTACTGCTAGGTAACAAGGGCATAGGGAGAAAGAAAAGGATCCGAAGAAGGATTTCGAGCAATTAAATGTCTTCCTATTAGATTAAAGTTAAAGGAGAATTTCCACCTTTAAGAAAAGAGTCTGTCTTGATACTGTTACCTTTCACTACTAATTTGTGTAAATTAGGAATTTCCACATTAATTCGGTTAAACACGAAAGACTGAAACCAGGTCAACACTGCGCCTGATATACGTGGAGCGTTGTTTAGTGTAGCTAAGGCACATAATTTAGTGTGTGTGTGTGTGTGTAATTACTTAAGTGTAGTTACAGGATGAGAGCTACGCTCAATCAACTGGTGTTGATTGTGTGTGTGTGTGTGTGTGTGTGTGTGTATGTGGTTGTACATGTGTGCTATGGAGCAGGTGTTACACATGTGTGTACTGGCCCGCGGTTCACCGCACAGGTCTTGTTGTCGGTCGCAGTAAAGAAGTTTGAGAACCGCTGGTGTGGGGCATTGAGGGTGTGCTCGTCTGGGCTCAATACCTCAATACCTGTGCATTAGCCAGGTATTGTGTGTGTACTCACCTAGTTGTACTTGCGGGGGTTGAGCTTTGGCTCAACTGTGTATGGAGTCAGCCTCCACCACATCACTGCCTATTGCATTCTATTTGTTAACTACTCTGACACTGAACAAATTATTTCTAAAGTCTGTGGCTCATTTGGGTATTCAATTTCCACCTGTGTCGACCAGACCACACACTAGAAAGTGAAGGGACGACGACGTTTCGGTCCATCCTGGACCATTCTCAAGTCGATGAGAATGGACCCTGTCTTCTGTCATCCAGGGACGTGAGGTTTAGCTCCTGTAGCCTTTCCTCGTAGCTCATACCTCTCAGTTCTGGGACTAGTCTGGTGGCATACCTCTGAATCTTTTTTTGTGTGTGTTCTCTCCTGTTGCTAGTTCACCCACCACACCCAGCTACACCACACCCAGCTACACCACACCCAGCTCACCACACCCTCACCACACCCAGGCAGGTCTGTGAGAGTGGAGGTGTGGCGCCACAGCTCCCGTGAACAATTTGCATATATCACAAGCACCAGAACCAGCTCCATGGGCCGAAGATGGAGGGAGAGAGGCACACAGAGAGAACTAGGAAGTGGGAGAGAGCAGAAGATGGAGAATGTGGAGATTGCGATAGATGGGAAAAAGGGAGACAGCAATCGGGAGAGGAGAGAAGAGGACGAGGCAGAGTAAATGGAGAGAAAGAGGGGGAGAGTGAAAGGGAAGAGATAGGGAAAGAAGAGAGGTGGGGGAGAGAGAGAGAGAGATAGGAAGCACTATATAACTCCGGAAGACGAAGGAGAGAAGCTGTAATGGACTTGGCGAATGGTGAGACAATTGGTGATGGTGTGGGTAGTGATGGTGGTGGTGGTGTGGGTAGTGATGGTGGTGGTGGTGTGGGTAGTGATGGTGGTGGTGGTGTGGGTAGTGATGGTGGTGGTGGTGTGGGTAGTGATGGTGGTGGTGGTGTGGGTAGTGATGGTGGTGGTGGTGTGGGTAGTGATGTGGATGGTGGTGGTGGTGTGGGTAGTGATGTGGGGGATGTGGCATCAATGTATCTTCAATCAATATAAACAGATAATATAAACATTGAGTAATATTCATAACATCAATACAGGGCCCAAAGAAATCACATTAACGTGACGTATCGATGAAAATCAGTAGTAACCATAAGGAGGATTCGAACCTGCACACTGAGTACTCCCAAGCCACAAACCACTGAGCCACAACATGCTTCAACAGTAATGTAACCCCCTGAGAGGTCAACTATATCCTCGTAGGCTTCAGAGGCATCGTCTGATCTGGCACTGTTATGTACTTATTGTGTGAGTTGGATGATATTCCTGTGTGGTCGCCTTCTGGCTGTGGCTGGCTGTGGCTGGCTGTCTCTGGCTGTGACTGGCTGTCTCTGGCTGTGACTGGCTGTCTCTGGCTGTGACTGACTGTCTCTGGCTGTGGCTGGCTGTCTCTGGCTGTGACTGGCTGTGACTGGCTGTCTCTGGCTGTGACTGGCTGTCTCTGGCTGTGACTGGCTGTCTCTGGCTGTGACTGACTGTGGCTGGCTGTGACTGACTGTCTCTGGCTGTGACTGGCTGTCTCTGGCTGTGACTGGCTGTTTCTGGCTGTGACTGGCTGTGGCTGGCTGTGACTGACTGTCTCTGGCTGTGACTGGCTGTGGCTGTGGCTGGCTGTGGCTGTGACTGGCTGTGGCTGGCTGTCTCTGGCTGACTCTGGCTGTGGGTTTCCTCAGCGTGTCTTGTCTGGAGGGAAAAAGTTGCATCACAGTTGAAAAATAATGAATTCAGAAATAAGAATTTTATAGTATTTAAAGTAAAAAGTCAAAATATTTAGGGATAAACATTAAAAGTTGAAACTAGGAACTAGTAAAGACGTGTAATAAAGGGGGAATATGGAGAATTGCGACTCAAAAGTCAAGGCGTGAATGATATCGATACCTCATAATTGATGGTTATCTTGAGATGATTTCGGGGCTTTTTAGTGTCCCCGCGGCCCGGTCCTCGACCAGGCCTCTACCCCCAGGAAGTAGCCCGCGACAGCTGACTAACACCCAGGTACCTATTTTACTGCTAGGTAACAGGGGCATAGGGTGAAAGAAACTCTGCCCATTGTTTCTCGCCGGCGCCTGGGATCGAACCCAGGACCATGAGTGCATGGTGCATGAGTCTGCTTCTAACAACACACGCACGCACATTGTGTGTGTGTGTGTGTGTGTGTGTGTGTGTGTGTGTGTGTGCGCGCGCGCGACCCTAGCATGGAGCCCGTACCTTGTCAAGCACAAGACGAAGCTGGAAAAAGTTCAGAGGTATGCCACTAGCCTAGTCCCAGAACAAAGAGGCATAAGTTACGAGGAAAGGCTGCGTGACATGCACCTCACAACACTGGAAGACAGAAGAGCTCGGGGAGATATGATCACCACATGCAAAATTCTCATGGGGAAAGAATTGACAGGGTAGACAAGGAATGAATTATTTCACACGGGTGGTACACGCACAAGGGGACACAGGTGGAAGCTGAGTACCCAAATGAGCCACAGAGACATGATCAAAACGCGACACAGGACATTACCAGTGTTGAGAGTGGTGGTAATGACCTCCTGACCTTACGTATCAGGAGGTCATGACCTCTCAGCGTGGTCTCAACAATGGGAGGTTAGTCAGTGCTCAAACTAGAGAGGTGTTGCGTCTATGTCATGATTCTTATCCCCTGTTGGTCGCTGCTGGTCACGCCTGGTGTGCCGTCCGAAACAAATCACAATAGCGTGATAGATCCAATGAACAAATCCACAAAGGGGATTTTCCATCTCGTGGCGCAGTCGACTAAGCCGCGTCTGGGATCATCCCGGACGGAGGTTCGAATTCTCATCACGGCCCTTGTGCACTTTGTTCATTTAATATTTAATATATTGAAAGACGTGCCAGAGAGGAAGTGTGCTTGAAGAATATGTAGATTAAGAATACTGTTTAAATAGGGTTTAAGAATACCGAAACATATTCTTGATGTAGTACTCGACAAATGGTGACATTTGTCACCAACCACCATTTGACAACCTTCCAATAGGACATTAACCAATGGGCTAATCTTGCGGCTTTCTTCATATTCTTAAAACTACCCAATCACCACAATCACCAACTATTACAGATAGTTTAACAGAGGTTCTTATTTGCAGGTGTGTTGCTTCCGCTGTTTGGTGATCCCGGTGGTGCAGCTGTCTTCCAGCCAGTCTCTACCCCAGGGTACAGGTGTGTGGTGACCTGTCTACCCCAGGGTACAGGTGTGTGACCTGTCTACCCCAGGGTACAGGTGTGTGGTGACCTGTCTACCCCAGGGTACAGGTGTGTGGTGACCTGTCTACCCCCAGGGTACAGGTGTAGTGATATGTCTACCCCAGGGTACAGGTGTGTGGTGACCTGTCTACCCCCAGGGTACAGGTGTAGTGACCTGTCTACCCCAGGGTACTGGTGTGTGGTGACCTGTCTACCCCAGGGTACAGGTGTGTGGTGACCTGTCTACCCCAGGGTACAGGTGTGTGTAGTGACCTGTCTACCCCAGGGTACAGGTGTGTGGTGACCTGTCTACCCCAGGGTACAGGTGTGTGTAGTGACCTGTCTACCCCAGGGTACAGGTGTGTGTAGTGACCTGTCTACCCCCAGGGTACAGGTGTGTGGTGACCTGTCTACCCCAGGGTACAGGTGTAGTGATCTGTCTACCCCAGGGTACTGGTGTGTGGTGACCTGTTTATCCCCAGGGTACTAGTGTGTGGTGACCTGTCTACCCCAGGGAACAGGTGTGTAGTGATCTGTGTACCCCAGGGTACAGGTGTGTGGTGACCTGTCTACCCCAGGGTACAGGTGTGTAGTGATCTGTCTACCCCAGGGTACAGGTGTGTAGTGATCTGTCTACCCCAGGGTACTGGTGTGTGGTGACCTGTCTACCCCAGGGAACAGGTGTGTAGAGATCTGTCTACCCCAGGGTACAGGTGTGTGGTGACCTGTCTACCCCAGGGTACTGGTGTGTAGTGATCTGTCTACCCCAGGGTACAGGTGTGTAGTGATCTGTCTACCCCAGGGTACTGGTGTGTGGTGACCTGTCTACCCCAGGGAACAGGTGTGTAGTGATCTGTCTACCCCAGGGTACAGGAGTGTGGTGATCTGTCTACCCCAGGGCACAGGTGTGTGGTGATCTGTCTACCCCAGGGCACAGGTGTGTGGTGACCTATCTACCCCAGGGCACGGGTGTGTAATGGAAAAGTAGAGAATTATACTTTAAACACGTGAGAAATATCCATTTTCTTTCAACCATATATAAAATGGACTCAGGTACAGACAGACAGTACATTTGTTTCATTGTTAGCGGGTTGAGATGGAAGGAAACTATTAGGAGGAAAGCGCCAAGACATTACGACTATATAGCACTGGGAAGGGGGTCAGAATAATGATTTGGGATGGGACGGGTGGGAAAGGAATGGTGCCCAACTACTTGTGGACGGTCTCGGGGGATTGAACGCCGACCTGCATGAAGCGAGACCGTGTTGGAGGTGGCGTGAGATCGCTCTGGCTCCCAGGGTGCCGTGGGAGCCAGAGGTGCCACTATAATGCTATAATGAAACCTGCCCCAAGAAAAGTTATGACAGTCGAATTTCCACAATAAGATAAGATGTCGGCTCATTGTAATTACTTGTATCATATATTATATACATTATATGTGTATTATATAATACATACACGTATGCAATTGACGATCACAAAACACTGATCATTTGTATGCGGAAAATCCACAGAAAAATGGAAAAGAAAGATGATTCCTTCTACATCTTTCTTTTCCATTTCTCTGGATTTTCCGCATATATACGTGTATATAATACATGTACATGTGTATATGTACGACTCTTGACTCGGCCCTAAGTTGTGTGGGGCGTACACGTCAGAACACACATTAATATATTGCTCAATTTCTCGCTATTTGAATTGTTATTTGCCAAGGAGACTCGCTTCGTGTCACTATCTGGCAACGTTCATCTGAAAATATTTCGCGATGTGTCAATGTCGGGAACCTGTTCCTTACAAGACTGTCACTCTCTCCCTGACTGTCGTACAGGTCACACCTTCCCTCTCTTGGCCAACCCTTCTAAGTCTAGTGGACCAAACTCTCACAGGTCAAGCCTGGCCTCGGGCCGGGCTTGGGGAGTAGAAGAACTCCCAGAACCCCATCAACCAGGTATCACTTGTTTTCTGTGAGGAATCTAAGGTGTATTTACCCCCGCAGTTCACTTCTACTAGCTTCTCTGACTAACTGTCTTCTACACAAAATGAGCGCGGGTTCATTTTTTGGTGTGTGTAGCGGCAGTAGTGTGTCATGTCTGTGTTCAATCCCCAAGGTCCACATTGTTGCTGATGATACTCTGGTACTTGGTATCGCTGCTAACTCGATGTACTTAAGTGCATTGTAAGTCTTTGGGGGACATGTTTGACTCTCCGGTACGTGGGAATAATGTCATATATTTTGGTTGTTGTTGTTAAAGATTCGCTACCTGGAACAAAGTTCCAAGTAGCACGGGCTATGGTGAGCCCGCAGGATATATTTTGGTGTTTTCCCCGTGCAGATGACTGCATACTGGTACTCTGCTGGTCATGTCCAGTTCTCAGGCACACATACACCTGTCTCTTTACCGGCACACACACCTGTCTCTGCCGGCACACACACACACACCTGTCTTTGTACCGGACCGCAGTCGTCTCACTTGTACTCGAGGAGTTGGTCCGAATTACACAGTCGTAACTTTTCCATCCGGCCTGGCACCGTGTATTGGGTGATGAAGTGTGTGAATGACCTGCTGACCGCACTCCAGGCTGTTGTTGATAGTGTGTTAAGGGTCGTTAGGAGCACCTGGCGCAGCTCATAGCGGAGGAAGGTGCTGGTGGTGGTGATGGGACGATGGCGGCGCCTGGGACCAAATTCACGAAAGCACTTACGAACCTGTACATCTTTTCTCAATCTTTGGCGGCTTTGTTTCCAATTATTAAACAGTTAATGAGCTCCGAAGCACCAGGAGGCTGTTTATAACAATAACAACAGATGATTTGCAAGTTTTCACGCTTGTAAACTGTTTAATAAATGTAACCAAAGCCGTCAAAGATTGAGGAAAGATGTACACGTTCGTAAGTGCTTTCGTGAATCTGGCCCCTGGAGAACACACACACACACCCTCCCTCAGTCACGTCTTGCAAGCACCATGAACCACTACACCACAACATGGGGTCAAAAGGATTGCAACTTGGGGGTTCAACTGAACCCTCTAGAGGTTCTCTATAACCAGTCAGGGCTGCAGCTGTCGGCTCGCAGACATTTATTAGATTTTCTCGATGGAACTTAATTATAGCTTTAAGTTGAGATCCCTACAACACCAGCTTGAATTCACATCTTTTTGTTTTATCTCCGTTCCTTATTATTAACATCTTTATTGACAAAATTAATTACAATTTTGCCTAATCTGAGGATTTTGATAGTCTTATTAAAGTGAGGATAATGGTGGTATTCACTGTCACGCAGGACAGAGGGTCATACATAAGACAATAGGTCTAAACTGTAGGCTGAAGCACATATATATCATTGTTACAATCAATGTTTAGTTGGAGATATGAGCAATTAGCGTGGGAGCGGGTGCTGCCTTGTAGTGTGACGGACTGTGGGAGGATGGAGTGCAATTCCTCTTGAGAATTTTATAGATGGTGATCATGTCTCCCGTAATTATTCTGTCTTCCAGTGATCTGTGGTTTAATTCCCGAAGAATTTTCTCGTAACTCTCAGCTCTGGGATTAGTTTGGTGGCATATCTCTGCACTTTCTCTTAACTTCGTCTTGTGTTTAACTAGATATGGATTCCACGTTGGAGCCGCATACGCCAGGATTGGTCTGACATACGTGGTATAAAAGGTTCTCAATGCTTCCATACACAAGTTTCTAAAGGCAGTTCTTATTCTGGGCAACCTGGCATATGCCGCTGATGATATTCTTTTGGTGTTGATATCCACTTGATTTTTGTATTGTTTCATCTCCCAGTTGGTACTTGTGTCCGCTTTCATGCTCCCTACACCTATTTTCATTACCTTGCACTTGCTTGAAGTAAACTCTAGTAGCCATTTGTTGGGCCATTTATTTGATCGTTGTGGTATGCCAGATTATGCTGGAAAAGGGTAGGATTAGTGGGGTATAGGGGGAGTAGGTGCGTAGGGATGGGGAGGTTATGGGTCGAGGGGAGGGGGTAAGGGGGTGGGGAGGGGGTTGGTGGGCAAGGGGGGGGGGTGCGGGCAAGAGATGACGGTGTTTTAATTCATGATAATGTAAACGGCAGGAGCATGTTGTTGCTATAGCAGAGGCCGTCCCTGTCCTGTCCCTCCCTCATCACCCTCACTGCTCTCACCATCACTGCTCTCACCCTCACCACCCTCTCTGCTCTCACCCTCACCATCATCACTATTCCCGCGCTGTTAAATCTGTGAATGATATCGAGAGTGGTTTTCTGTCGCAGTGTATGGAACCTGTCCTTCAGTAGCTTGCGTGTGTAATATCATACAGATCTCTCGCGTTTGTTCCAAGGAGCGCAGTTTGAATGCTTCCAAGCAGTCCCAATAGTTTGTGGTTCACCTATTCCAAGCAGGCAGTTCAGGATGTCTGCACATTTGCCAGCTCTGAACTCTGGCCTGTCTTGAAAAGGGGGACGTGAGAACTAAGCAATGTGCCATACGAGATGGCACTTTGGCACTTGCCATCACTGGTGTGGCATTCCAGTGTACCCTAAGACCAGTGTACCCTAAGATCAGTGTACCCTAACACCAGTGTGCCCTAACACCAGTGGACCCTAAGACCAGTGCGCCCTAACACCAGTGGACCCTAAGATCAATGTACCCTAACACCAGTGTGGGTTCTGGACAGCCGGTCCCGCTTCATATATTTTGATACCGTGGTCTGGTGTAGAGCTCACACTATACAAAGGTTTGCTGACTTCATATTACATGGACTGGTGTTAAACACACTACATAGGACTGGTATTCAGGAGGAACGAGGAAGGTGGACTAATGGTAAGTGGCTTGGGGAGTAGAACTCCCAGAACCCCATCAACCATGCCTCTCACAAGAGTAAGAGTGAACCGCGAGGTCCTCCAAGGGGACATGCTAGGACCCCATCTTTCTCCTGAACAGTGTGAATGGCCTTTCTGAGGGAAATCTCTCTCTCTCTCTCTCTCTCTCCTTCTCTCTCTCTCTCTCTCTCTCTCTCTCTCTCTCTCTCTCTCTCTCTCTCTCTCTCTCTCTCTCTCTCTCTCTCTCTCTCTCTCTCTCTCTCTCTCTCTCTCTCTCTCTCTCTCTCTCTCTCTCTCTCTCTCTCTCTCTCTCTCTCTCTCTCTCTCTCTCTCTCTCTCTCTCTCTCTCTCTCTCTCTCTCTCTCTCTCTCTCTCTCTCTCTCTCTCTCTCTCTCTCTCTCTCTCTCTCTCTCTCTCTCTCTCTCTCTCTCTCTCTCTCTCTCTCTCTCTCTCTCTCTCTCTCTCTCTCTCTCTCTCTCTCTCTCTCTCTCTCTCTCTCTCTCTCTCTTCTCCATGTCTACTGACGATGCTACAATTATGAGGATAAAACATAATACCTGAAAGTCGAGAAGGAACTTGACAGGTGTTTGAAGAGTACAGATAGCAATATGTCTTGACTAGTAATGTAGGCGGAGACCAGGTGTGTGTCGGGCCCACCCCAGGCCCCCCACGCCCACCCCACGCCCCCCACGCCCACCCCAGGCCCCCCACGCCCACCCCACGCCCACCCCAGGCCCCCCACGCCCACCCCAGGCCCCCCACGCCCACCCCAGGCCCCCCACGCCCACCCCACGCCCCCACGCCCACCCCAGGCCCCCCACGCCCACCCCAGGCCCCCCACGCCCACCCCACGCCCCCCACGCCCATCCCACGCCCCCCACGCCCACCCCACGCCCCCCACGCCCACGCCCTCAGGTGAGACTACAACAACCCGTCAACATAAAGCCAGCTGGACAGATCGCATCATCTTTTATAGACAATGTTGCAATTTATAGGGTAATTGTGCGCGCCTCGGGCCGGCGTTATCGTGACGCTATCTTGCTGCCATGTGGCGCCCGGCGCTGGACCCCTGCTGGTTGGGGGGGAGTTAGGGGGGGGGGGTGGATGCTGGTGGTTGGTGGGGGGGCCTGGATGCTGGTGGTTGGGGGGTTGGGGAGGGCCCTGTTGTTGGGGAATGGGATTGAGTAGTGTTGTAATGGTGGTGATGGTGGTTGTAAGAGGAGGGGAGGGGAGGGGGAGGTTGATGCTGGTTGAGCAATGAAGGGGGGTGGTTGATAGTGGTTGTTAGTGGCATGTTCACCTAGTGGTGGTTGTGGAGATTGACCATCCTCTCTCTTTGGTCACGCCTCACAAGGGTCAATCATCTGTTGTACAAATTTCTCAGCCTACTGGGCTCTGTCATGTTCACATTTGAATCCCATGTATGGCGTCTGCCTCCACCACATTCCTGCACAGAACTGCTGATACTGTACAATTTTTTCTAATGTCTCTGTGGCTCATTTGGGTACTCAGTTTCCACCTGTGTCCCCTTGTGTCAGTACTGCCCGCGTGAAAGGGTCTATGCAGACAATGAGTCACAATAACGAGGCTGAAGATGACCAAACTATATCTCAGAAGATGACGAGACGACGACGTTTCGGTGGTGGGTGCCAGCCCTTGACACTGGTGGGTGCCAGCCCTTGACACTGGTGGGTGCCAGCCCTTGACACAGGTGGGTGCCAGCCCTTGACACTGGTGGGTGCCAGCCCTTGACACAGGTGGGTGCCAGCCCTTGACACTGGTGGGTGCCAGCCCTTGACACTGGTGGGTGCCAGCTCTTGACACTGGTGGGTGCCAGCCCTTGACACTGGTGGGTGCCAGCCCTTGACACAGGTGGGTGCCAGCCCTTGACACTGGTGGGTGCCAGCCCTTGACACTGGTGGGTGCCAGCCCTTGACACTGGTGGGTGCCAGCCCTTGACACTGGTGGGTGCCAGCCCTTGACACTGGTGGGTGCCAGCCCTTGACACTGGTGGGTGCCAGCCCTTGACACTGGTGGGTGCCAGCCCTTGACACTGGTGGGTGCCAGCCCTTGACACTGGTGGGTGCCAGCCCTTGACACAGGAGGGTGCCAGCCCTTGACACTGGTGGGTGCCAGCCCTTGACACAGGTGGGTGTGGCAGTAGCGGGCGGGCACTCATTAATAAGTAGGGGAGTGAGGTAGTGAATCTGTTCTTGCGACGATCTTAGAGCACCGCGATGCTCTCCTGTTATTGTCGTCATGATGAGGGTGATGGTTGTGGCGGTGTTGGGCCTCGTTAAGTCGTGGCTAATGGGTGGTTCATGCCACTCTCTCTCGCCACACATCACTATGGGGGTAATGGATGACCCGAAAGGAATCCCTTTCACACTGTGTTGATGGCTCGTAAAGTTTGTCTCTTGCTGTCACTTACTAACTTGGCAGGTGAAGGTTGGCCACAGGTGTGGGCTGGCCACGGGGGGGGGGGGAGGACTGGCCACAGGTGAGGTCTGGCCACGGGGAGGGACAGGTGAGGGCTGGCCACGGGGGGGGGGGAGGACTGGCCACAGGTGAGGTCTGGCCACGGGGAGGGACAGGTGTGGGCTGGCCACAGTATCCTGACACCTGAAGTTATCAGTCAATAGACATATAAACAAGAATCGTCTTAATAAGCCCATAAGCCGTGATAAGAGCTCATTAACCCATGACAATAATGCTACTCTCAGGTAATTACCTCCAGAAAGGTGAGTAAACAGGCGACTGTGACTTGAGTCGCGGGGGACATGTTAAGGGTCTCGGAGGTCGTATAAGATGGAGGGTTGACCCCGGCCACTAAGACCTAAGGTCCACCTGTAACGGAGCACAAGACACCTGTGTCGGGCAGGTGAGGGAGTGCCAGGCGGAGCAGTGGCACTGGCACTGGCGGAGAGCTGCTTAGGGCGGGTGTGACGTAGCTGCCGGCAGAGTGTGACCCTTACGACAGTGGCTCCTGTCTTGAACACGTCTGTGGCACTGTGTCATAGACTGGCAAGGTGAAGGTTGGGGAGAGAGAGAGAGGACCGGGCCGCTGGGACGCTAAGCCCCGGAACCATCACCAGGTAACCTCCACCACGCTTGTCTTAGAAGCCGGACACGACAAAAAAATAATACCATTAATAATTCATAGTTTTTTGGGAAATATTACTATTAGGAATTCCACGATTTACGTTCATTTATAAACAAAAACAATTGGACGTAAAGACTGTTTTTGTTATATTGGGGGGGGGGGGTAAGGGGGGTAGGGGGGGATATCCCAGTGATTAGAGTTTAAGTTTTCTCCAACAAATAATGTTTGTAAACAAAAAAGTTGTGTTGTTTCTTGTCTTCCGGATTTATTTTTTGTCCCCAACTGCTATCCTCCTTCCCCCCCCCCCTCTTAACCCCCTCCTGCCCCCCTCCCCCTCCCCCCATCTCCTGACAAGCCGCACTAGAGGGCTCGTACCGCCGACCGGACCGACCTAGAGGAAATGCCAACAGCAACAGTCAGAAAACAGTAGTGGGAGAGTTGCTGGGGATTGTTGCAGTGGTGGCAGTAGTTGTGGTGGTTGTAGTGGTAGTGGTGGTAGTTATGGTGGTTGTGGTGGTGGTGGTTATGGTGTAGTAACACTAGGAACACCATTAATGAGGATGGTTGAAGATGGGGAGATTTAGGAGGAGGAGGAGGAGAAGAGACAAGGAGATAGAGATGGAGATACATATAGATATCAGATATAGATATCGCAGATATCATGAGTACCACAGAGACGGCTGTGTCCTCGTACCGTGGACGGTACTACACATGTGTGCTCGTACCGTCGTTCGAGGCCCGTCTTGTACCGTCGTTCGCGGCGCCAGAGAAGGTGCCCATCATTCTGTGAAACCGTCGAGTCATTCGCCTCTCCTTACGACATTTCCTTTCCATACAATAAATCATAATTTGCCTGACGGATCCCGCCTCCCCAGCCAGCGACTGTATTCATGCTGTATCCCCTTCCCCCCCCCCTCTCCCCAGGTCCCACAAGGCCACAGTGGTGTTATAGGTGGCGCTCTCAGTGGCGCTCTCAGTGGCGCTCTCAGTGGCGCTCTCAGTGGCGCTCTCAGTGGTGCTCTCAGTGGTGCTCTCAGTGGCGCTCTCAGTGGTGCTCTCAGTGGCGCTCTCAGTGGCGCTCTCAGTGGCGCTCTCAGTGGTGCTCTCAGTGGTGCTGAGGTTAAAGGTAAGCGAACGTAGGCTTTGAAATTTCGAGGGATTTGCTGCTGGTGGAAAAAGACCCGACGGTGACTGTATAAAAAGCGCATGTTGACAGCTGTTGTCGCGCATAGCTCTATGGCACATAGCTCTGTCGCGCATAGCTCTATCGCGCATAGCTCTGCAGACGGAGGGTACCAGAAATTTGCAACAGTAATCAGTTGAAGCAGGAAGCCAGTGAATTCTGATTTGACTCTCTAGCAGTGGACCTAGATGCAAGATTTGGAGGGCACGGCTTAACTTGATTTGATTTGACGATTTGATGGAAAGTTCTTAATTACTTGTGATGAAGTTGTTGGCATGTGCTCTATGATAGGCCGGAGAACTGGGAAATAAATCTCCAGTAAGAGAATCCACCGTGCGGGAGTGATTGGGTCGGGAGACCTTATGTTAAAATTGGTGGTCTCAAGTCGCGCATTGTTAGCGACTTGAGAATGGTCCAGGACGGACCGAAACGTCGTCGTCCCTTCACCTTCTAGTGTGTGGTCTGCTCAACATACTTCAGCCACGTTATTGTGACTCCTCGCCTGCACATTGTTAGCGGTTGTCTATACAGTATACCTAGGTCTATACAGTATACCTAGGTCTATACAGTATACCTAGGTCTATACAGTATACCTAGGTCTATACAGTATACCTAGGTCTATACAGTATACCTAGGTCTATACAGTATACCTAGGTCTATACAGTATACCTAGGTCTATACAGTATACCTAGGTCTATACAGTATACCTAGGTCTATACAGTATACCTAGGTGTATACAGTATACCTAGGTCTATACAGTATACCTAGGTCATACAAGTATTTGTGTGTACGTCTTATACCATACTACTTGTGGAAAGGAGGAAATGTATATGTTTATCTCTCAGAATGTTCGGTAATATGTTTATTGTTTGTGATGTGTGTCTATGTATGTATTAACACGATGTACTGAACGGGGTGAGAATAGCTTGAGCTACCTCATCCCTTTGTGTGTATTTTACATCAATAAACTTATTTCAATTGTTAGCGTTCTACTCGTGTTGAACAATTTATCGGTAGACACATAAGTAAAGATCAAAGTCTAATACATACTATGTGTAGGGGGTTTACATATGTAAACTAATACATAAGTTTGAGGTTGGGTTGTGTGGTGAGAGAGTGGTAGTTGTAGCCACCTGTCTACGCCTGTCTACGTGGGGAAGAGGAGTAGAAATAGCCTAAGCTACTCTATCCCTTTGAGATGTATTTCTTTCTTTTCTCAACAAACATACTTGAACTTGTACTTGGGGACCGCAATACCAGGAGCTTGAAGAGGCGGACGGTAGCACAGAAACCTGTACTTCACCACACTGGAGTGAAGTGCACGAGGCCAAGACGAGGCCAGGATGAGGCCAGGATGAGGCCAAGACGAGGCCAAGACGAGACCAGGACCTCCAGCTTGCCGTTGGTCTAAACGAGGTTGTAGCCAAGTTCTCAGAACAAGAACCACGACCATTTCCTGAGCTTGAAGATAAGTCATGGACAAAATGTGTGTTCTTCTGTGATGTCACAACCTGCCTAAATAACTCGCCACTCCACTTCAGGGAAAAAGTATGCCGCAGCAGTGAAGGCTTTTAAAAAGGACATGTAAACTTCTGAGAAGATGCCTGTTGGAAGGGGAAACGTTTGGGTTCCCGTCGTGTTCAGAACACGTCCTGGAGCACAAGATCAGAGCTGCCACAACTCTATGCTGTCACAAACTGATTAAAGAAGTCTCACTTTGTCTACAGATATTCCACTGAAGATTGAAGTGGCTCCAACAGACTTGCCATTCCAAATTGCAGTTGAACGTTATTGATCTTCAGTGTTCAACAGATTACAGAAGCAAACGAGAAAGCAGTTCGCGGGATTTGTACGGAAGGAAGTCTGCAGCGAAACGTACAAAAGTTCCTGTTGAAGCTTTAAAGGAAAATGTTCAACATTTTTGGCAATATCAACATTTGTGAACAAATGTTGTGTTACATGAACAAAACGTTCTTGGCCCAACTACTGACCGTTTGGAAGACTTCGTGAAGAGTCTATGACCCAGAGGTGCCATGGGCACAATCAGAGAACACTGTATGAACATCAGAGGTCCACGGTTGTTCAACGTCCTCCCAGCGAGCATCAGAAATATTACAGGAACAACCGTGGACATCTTCAAGAGGAAACTAGATTGTTTCCTTCAAGGAGTGCTGGACCAACCGGGCTGTGGTGGGTATGTGGGCCTGCGGGCCGCTCCAAGCAACAGTCAAATTCTCACAAGTCAAGTTTGGCCTCGGGCCGGGCTTGGGAGTAGAAGAACTCCCAGAACCCCATCAACCAGGTAACAACCAGGTAACCCCTTGCCTATGACCCAGGAGCTGGGGGCAAGCGTGTTGCTGGCAGGCAAGGCAATAGCTCCCATTAACTTTGCAAGACAATGCAAATGATTTAATTTCCTGAAGTGATGACCAAAGCCACACATCGGAAAGTGGAGAAGTGAGGACGACGTTTCGGTCCTCGAAACGTCGCTGTTTCTTCATTTTCTGATGTGTGGATTTGGTCATCACAACTCAAGCCGCTTTGTCACTAATCGTGCTCACTGGAAGGCACAGTAGAACAAGAGGTCGTGTTCACTATAAGACACAGTAGAACAAGAGGTCGTGTTCACTATAAGACACAGTAGAACAAGAGGTCGTGTTCACTATAAGACACAGTAGAACAAGAGGTCGTGTTCACTATAAGACACAGTAGAACAAGAGGTCGTGTTCACTATAAGACACAGTAGAACAAGAGGTCGTGTTCACTATAAGACACAGTAGAACAAGAGGTCGTGTTCACTATAAGACACAGTAGAACAAGAGGTCGTGTTCACTATAAGACACAGTAGAACAAGAGGTCGTGTTCACTATAAGACACAGTAGAACAAGAATACATGGAAACTTGAGGCGCAGATGATTCACAAGTGTGCTTAGAAGAACATAAGATTACGAGACGTTATAATCTAATTCAATAAACAGCTTAAAATCAAAATGTCGGGAAAGAGAACGTCCGGAATTGACCGTATTAGATAACCCACAACTGGCAAAGCGGGTCTCACTCACTCACTCACTCACTTACTCACTCACTCACTCACCCACCCAAACTCCGCAAGCACAACTAGGCGAGGACACAGACATATCTTTTTTCAGCAAAACGCCACAGTTTTGTTCAAAATGTCGCGGATATTGATCTTGTGAAGCACTCGATGTGTCATTACGCGTTATCGGTAGTG